TGAGGGGCGGAGAACTTATTAAAGGTTTAGGCGGTTTTTCTTTCATGTCGTCCGCCATTTTTAGGTCACCGGCTTTGTAAAGCCTGGCTTAATTCGTTGAGAATGCGCTCTAAGACTTAGGAAAAAAAATACAAGAGACTCCACACTATATTTTGCTAGCGTACAGCTGTTATTGAACTGTTCTTGTATTGATCCTAGTTTAGTGGCTCATTGCCCCTGCTTCATTAAGGGAGACAGACAGACAGACAGACAGACAGACTACTATATATATATCCAACAGACAGATTAATAATCAGAAAGACCACACAAAAAATACATTATCTGAGTTTTTAGGATAAACTTCCTCCATGCACCAGGATAATCGTATAATACAAATATAAACCTGCCATGACAAACAAACAAACACCATTATCATAATTTTCACCACAGCCACACATCACCATAATAGAATGAACATCATTCTCCATTTTCTTCACTTAAATTTCTTGTTTGTTCTGAAATAACTACCAATTTACATAAATATACACACACCAGATGATTTACTTCTTAATGTCTTCTAAATGTAAGACATGAACACAAAAATAATTCTCATTAATTTCTCTATCACAACAAAAAACTCTCAGGTACGATAAAGGCGCCATTCAGCAGATCTCATGGCGTCCACTTTATGCCTGGACAGAAGACGGACATCCCATACCAAAGGAGAGATTGCCTGACCACAGCATTTACCAGTATTCCCACAGTATATCTTAACTCGTGCTGCACTTATGTCCCACTGATAATATACTGCTTCTCATTGCTAGCCTGTTAAAGCAGCACCGTCCCATCTTATATACTGGCACTGTATCCTAGAATATATTTGAATTTTTATCACAGTGCCCTGATTTTGCTGTTAATTCACCCGCTCCCATGTAAAAAAGAAAATAATGACAGTTGATGGGTGTTTTCTTTTGCATAACTTCAAATAACTTCAACTGTTAGTTTCTATTCAAATACACCTTAGATTTCTACACCTAGCCAATGCATAACTATAACTTATACTAGTAAGTGGATTTCAGATTTATATCTAAGACAAGTCACGTGATTGTAAAAAAAAATTAAGAAAAAAAAACACATAATTACGTTGCATTACACAGCACTCTCATGATGTTAGGTTAACATTGGTCCAGTCCTCGACCACAGTTCTTGACCACAGTCCTTGACTAGTCCTACAAAAGAGGAACACTAGCTCAATCTTCTATTCCTCCAGCATGTACCTTCTCTCTGTGACCAGGAAGCAGTTGGTGACTTACAGGGTTTCTATTCTGATAACAACTCTGTTCAGCTGACAGCTTTTGGCTTATTATTATTTCACTCAACTTTCCTAGAGCCCAGTCTCTGGGCATTCACTGTCAATCTGACCAACTTCTATCTTAATCCCTGAGTTTTCATCCTATTCAGTTGTCAACACGGTCCACCTTACAGCAGAGTTCCTATCTTCCTGACAAACACAGTCTTCCTATTGTATAGCCTACACTGTTTAACTTGGACAGATGTCCTAGTCGCTGTCCTGTCCAGTTAACGGAATTTTAAACTGTCACTCGCCACTGTCCTCCTTCCAGTAAATTACAGTGTACAGTTACTATAAAAAGTCAGATGACGCAGAGGACAATTTGTCACTGTCCACGGCTGACTGTCACCGTCATCGGCGCTCTGTCCACTACTGCTAAGGCCGCTGACTTTATCAAAGGGATTTATGCATATAATGTGAAATATCCAGTCGAGATGGACATTCTGCTGACCACCAAGTATGACCTATAGATCTTGTAGCCAAGTAGACCATGTCACAGTTTAATGGTGAGCGCTGCAGGGGAGTTCATCCAACGAGTGTCCACTGTAACTTTATATCCTGTTGTATGTATTGTACACTGTTCATCGGAACTACCTTGCTGTTGATGGTAAATTGACTGATGACCAGATGGTACATCTACTCCTGCAGTGACTTTATGTACCCAAGACCTGTGTAGTAACACGACGTGGCTGTACGACCACTGAGCTAACACCATGGCACGGTTTCCAGGCTTTACGTTGCACTATCTCACTGAGATTATATAAGTTCATCTAACACGTGACTTAAACATGCATCAGTCTCAGCTGAATCTGTACAAACATTAGGATCTAGTTGCAGAATACAAAACTAGAAGACGAATGTTTGAATTGAAATTAGTAGCCAACTGGATTTTCTAAAAATAAATTATATATTTTTTGCTGCTAAAATAAAATTTTCTAGAGCAAGGGTTATCAGCAGCCCTATCTCTACTCAACTGTCAATTTTCAAAATCAATTTGAAAGCTTTATCACTATGATATATCTCTAAGCAAACTGAAACAAAGCCTGTGAATTAGCATGACATCAACTTTTGCTTCCCGTTTCATTCTGAAGCAAAGGGGCAGTACAGCTCTATCACATGATGGTAAGAACTGAAAATGAGGACTCCATGCTTGGTACGCGTGGAATCATTAGTGAAGGCTAGGTATCGTTACCCTGTGTATTTTCTTAATCAGCACAGTATTGTGTACTCTTCCCTAATCTGGCCTCTTTAATCAACAAACATGGCCCTCCTGCCTAAGGTCTTACTATCTTGACTGTGGGTCTTCTCCGTTATCTGGCCTCATTATCAATTCAAACTGCCCAGTTCCTCTCAATCTCTCCCTATATGATCATCAAGTCTTGTTTCGTTATCTGTCTTTACACAAGAAGATGAAGCAATAGCATGGTAAGGCACAATTTCCTTTACACTGGACCTGGGAGGATAATCTTGAAGAAAAGTATTAAAACAATGGGCCAGTTTTGACCAGGCCGTCAGTTCTGAACAGTGGGCGATAGGTTTATCTCTCCCCTGGTGAGGCAACAACCAGATAGAGGCAGGGAGACTGATGTGTGGTCTCCTCGCACTATCTTCACTCCTACATGTACTGGATCAGGATGGATTTAGTGGATTTACATGAACTGCTGTTGATAAAACTGAGATAATTCTACACTTTTTTTAAGGTTTGGACCCTCTATTATTATTATTACCTCTTTTTGGTAAATTATAGAAATGTTAACTATTAATAATTTGTCATGTTTCCTCTGAGCAGCCATCTGTGAAAAGGAAAAAGACATCCCGACTTCTCATGAGTTTGATTCCAACAGCTCAGAACAAATAGCTTGGCTTGTAATTAATCTGAATCAACTGGGGACTAACTGACATTTAAAACAAATTGATATCTAAATTAAATAGCCTGAATCTTTGTGTAAATGTCTAACAAAATTAATCTTGATAGATCTGATCTGTGAATCTAACATACATGGTGCTGTGGTTATAAGCATTGTTTTCTTCAGGGACATACACGGCCTATAGTGATATTACCTGAACTTGCCACATACTGGAACACCATTTTGTTCTCCTTCATCCTTAAAAAACTCCACAGAATATAATGAAACTTTACCTTTTCATTTAAATATATATACACCAACAACAAAGAAATGCTCAGCAATGTGATCCTTTGTTAAAAGTAGGTGGTAAAGAGAATTTTCAACAATACAGAAGAGTAAAATAAAATGTTGTCCTTGGTTGAACTGAGGTCATAACTCCAGCCATAAGTATCCTGAAAGGCCTTCCATTATCAGAGTATCTTAATTGCTGGTAACAGTTGACCATGTCATTTCTTATTATCAACACTACTTACTACTGATATTAATGTAATATTTGGAGAGAGGTAGCAGGAATGACCTCACCCCCCCCCCCCCCTCACCCCCATCATCTAGACATTAATGTAACAGGCTGCAATGGGAGGTCAGTTTTTTTTCTGTTACTGCTGAGAACAATTTTATTTTAAACCCACATCATGATGTTTATTTCTGGCCAAAAGATCCTTTTTATTTCCTTCTTTTCTACGCTTTTCTATCTACAGTCTGCTTTACATGTATGAGACTTGTGAAGCCATTTCATTAAAAACCCTTTATGTATTTCTGTTTGTAAACAATAACTGTGGGCCCATAAAAACCTACATCTGCTACTGAATTTTTCTGGATCAAAGTCACCTTTTTTTAAAACTTCAGTTATTTTATGAGATGGTCCCTGGAATTGATATGACTATGCTAAACAGAGGGTAGGTTGTTCAGTAATTTCACAAACCAGTATCATGTGATGACTGCCCCTATCCTCCTATTAGTCTGCAGATCAACACATGCATTAACTGCATCCCCCTTCCCCTATATTCCTACCTGTCTGCAGTTTATATGTGGGCTTGCACCCCCCCCCCCCAGGACCCTATATTTCTACCAGTCTGCAATTTATATGTGGGCTGACCCCCCACCCCCCACCCCCCCACCACCACCACCACCCAGGGACCTATAATCCTACAGTCTACAGAGCTCCTGTCATCACACCTGAATATACACTTTGACCTTTGACCTACAGGTGCCAGGCAGATATTTCATACACACTTCCACACAGCCTTCTCTGTATCCATCATCACGCTATTAACTCCTCTGTCAAGTATTGCCAATTTGTAGCCACGCCCCCACATAGACAAGTATTGAAACCAGGACAATAGAAGGTATGTGTGATATGGATAGCAGTGATATATGGGGGAAAAACATGGTACCTCATCCCCACCCCCACCCTTGGCCTCTCTGCCTGCCTCTCTCTCACTCCCCCTCCCTCCCTCTCTCACTCTCCTCCTTCCTTCTCTCGCTCTCCCTCTTCTCTCTCTCAGAATAGAAGCAGTTGGCCCCAGTCAGGCCTGTAGCTGGGGGGAGGGGGGGGTTCAGGGAGTTAAAAAAGAAACCTTTTTGTCGGGGGGGGGGGGGGGGAGGTCTCTCTTGGTTAAATTTTTTTTTGGGGCCNCAATGATTCCTGCATCCTGGTTTACTGAGTTCTACTAATATATAACTGAATCTATACCAGGATCTGGCAAGTCAAAGCCAGAAATCTAATTTAAGGGAAACAATTCTAAATCTGGCTTTTTGACAAAATACAATAGTACAGAAGCACTTTTGAGAGTCAGCAGATCAATGCCTCTGAAGTCTTGCCTCTAATGTGGTTAACAAAATACTGGTTTCTTTTATAGTTTTACTCAACTTCTCATCATATGTGAAAGTTTAACAACTACACCATATCTATAAACATGAAATTCTATTGTTTATCATTCTGTTAAAAACTGAATATCATCCTGGACACAACAAAGATCAGTGATAAGAAATATACAGAGCCACAGGACCTGAAGTGTAGGTAACCCCATATACCACCAAGGCTCTGTACTTCCACTACTTGTTGTTCAGAATACCGTAATACAACAGAGATCAGGCCCGTAGCCGCAGGCAAAAGGTCCACTCTGGGTGAAATTTAATTAAGGTACATGAAAGTTTTATGGTAAAAGGTCCACTTTTTCAGAAAAAGAACCCCCCTTTTAAATTTTCTGGCTACGGGCCTGGAGATCATCACCAAGTTTCTACCACTGCCAGGACAATCATACCTGACCACTTTGTGCTAAGTTAGACAAGTAGCTTGCTAAGCTGGTGGTATAAGATTGAACTCACCCCTCCCACCTGCCATATAATACATTATTATACCCCCTCCCCCCTCCTTAACCTCCCTCCCCCCACCCCACTGTACCCCATGTAGAGCTATTTACCTGCACAGTCCCTCAAACACATGCATCAGCATCAGTCAGTAGTCATGTGGACCCAGTAGTACCCCTACTACACTCTAAATAACTACATCATGCCCGCATGCTGCTGGTGAAGCTACATACAGACCTACAATCCTGAGTCATTCTTCTCAGGGGTCATGTCAAAAGTCAAGAGGGTCAGTTTTTTAAAACTCAGTTTGGTAATATTAACATGACTTTGAAATACACTGTAGTTCAAAAATTTTATTCCACAACTTTTCTTCACAATGAATCATTGTGTAATATTCCAGTCATGAAGTCAAAATTCTGTGTACCTTTAATAATCTTTCTACATTATTCAGCTAAAGGAATTGATTCACGAGGACATATTTTATAAGAAATTCTCTGACATATTTGACACAGTCCCTTTGATGAGAGTTTGCTCTCCATATCCACCCTTTTTCATGCAGTCAAGATGTATTTTGTAGCTTTGTGAAACATTAAACTGGTCTAGTGATTTGATAATGGTGTGACTAGAAGACATTGTATCTGACCTAATGTATACAAACTCTCCTCCCCTCTCCTCCCCTCCCCCATGTCCTAGCTGTCATAGCTTCACAACTGAACCCAAAACAGTCTCCGAACTTACTCTGGCCTTAAAAATATCATGAAATCTAATCTGATATTGTGTAGATATGTAGGTCTTCTTTAGAATTAAGTCAAAAGAAAAACATGAGGGTCCATGCTAATTTGCTAAAATTCTCTTGGTAATGGGTTCTTTAAAATACTTGCTACTTCATATGAATAACAGAGAAGTTTTACTTATAAATAAACAAATAAATAAATAAATAAATAAATAAATAAATAAATAAATAAGCACTATGATTATTTTGCCCAATTTAACTTTTATAAAACCTCACAAAATATATATATATATATATATATATGCCAATACACCAATATACTTAAAACATAACTCATACAACCAACCATCTGAAATATGTGGACAAATATGAGGAAAGAAGGTAGAACAGATGAAATATTTACAGACTTCCACACATAGCAATGCCATCCAATCTTGGGTGGAGTGGAAATGAAAGAAAAAAAAAAGGAAACAAGAAAATTATAGCAACCTTCTGACTGGACTTTGAATATGAAAGTATTTTTTTTAAATAATAAGACAAATAAATAAATAAATAGTGAAAAGCTATTTGTGAAGTTGACTCAGTAAAAGTGATATCAAGAAAATCCCAATTTCTTTGTACCAATCCTATTAATATAACAACATATTTTTTGTTACATAGCAACTTTCTGAACGGACTTTGAACATGAAAGTATTTTTCTAAACAATAAGACAAATAAATAAATAAATAAATAAATAAATAAATAAATAAATAAATAAATAAATAAATA